ATAGCATCCCAGTACATAGCTTGATCCTGTGTAAATGCTAACGTAGCTAAAGTATGCGCATGTAAATTAACCTGTCTAGAGATGTAATCCAAAGTAATACGATTAAATAAAGACATAAACGTTCTGCACTGGTCAATCGTGACCCCAACGTACGAATGGATCGGCGTGTGATGGTGTCGGATAATCGTAGCCAATTCCATGCAATCCGTGAGTAAACTTATTGATGTGTTGTTTCGTTCAACTAGCCAGGATAGTGCTTCCTTGTATGCCTGGGCCTCCGCCATAAGTGGTGAAAAACAAATCGGTAAATTGCCATTCCTTGCTGCCACAAAAGATCCATCTGGCGCTATTATTATCATGCCGTACGTAGCCTCGCCCGTGTCGTGCCGGAAACCCGCGTCTACATAACACCTTAGACCGCCCTCCCCTATACCGTTCAAGTGCTCCGATGCCGCTGCCAGCTCGGTTCGGCGGACATGGGCAGCGCCATATGCCTGTAGTGCTACGGTGGCTGCTCTGACTAATTGGGCAGGCCGCATCATTGATCCCTTCCAGACAGCTGAATTCCGGGTTCTCCAAATATAATATAATATTGCTACCATTAACCGGGTCTGCTCCTCCGTTAAGACCGCCATAGCCCCTTTTAGCCATGTTGTAAAAGAGTCTGCAATAATATTAGTAATAGGCAATTGTGTTATATTCCAAACAAGTCTAGAATATTCACAGAGTACTAAAGCATGCATCACATCTTCATGATCTAAACCACACATTGGGCATGTTGGGTCCACCTCCACCCTTTTAAATATCAAGTTAAGGGTTGTTGGCAAAATGTCACATATGGCTCTCCACAAGAAAGTTTTCCACTTGGGGGGACTTTTATTTTCCACATTGCAACCCATTTATCAAAATTTGCTGGATTATTCACATAATCACCCACAATATGCCTATAGGCATTCTTTACTGTATATGTCCCCTTGGGGTCACTCATCCAATACCATGAGTCCTCATACTCAGGATTCACAGGGATCATATTTATTCGCTCCACATCTTCAGGAATAAATAAGTCAGACAAGATATGTGGATCCCAGGTATTAGTCTGTAAATCAATTAATCCTGCAACTCGTGCCTCTCTCAATTGCTGTGGCATTTTTGTTTGAATCAACGGGCTAGGATTATCTCGTAACCACGGATGTCCCCATATTAAAGTTGTCTGCCCATTCCCAATTCTCCTTCGCACCCCTGAGACTACCATTGCATGAGCTGCCATTATACTTCTCCAACAGTAACTTGGGCAATTACCAATAGTTGCATCTGTAAAACTGGTTGTGGGATAATACCTTGCCTTATAAATTTTAGCCACGAGTGATCCTGGGTCCGTTAAAAAATGCCATGCCTGTTTACCCAGCATAGCTAGATTAAAATCCCTTAGTTCTTTAAAACCCAGACCACCATACTTCTTTGGTATGCACAACCTGTCCCATGCCTTCCAATGTATACCCCTTTCTCTTCCATTCCCCCACCAATATTTATTCATAGTTCGCTCAATTGACTGACAAACTGTCTCAGGTAACAAAAAAACACTCATCGAATAGGTAGGCATAGATTGCGCTACACTTTTCAATAACACTTCCTTACCAGCCTGAGAAAGTAACTTTTTACTCCACGAACCAATTCGTTGCCTGATCTTTTCCTCCACATACGAAAAAACAGCTCTCTTATTTCTCCCAACAAAGGAAGGTAGGCCCAAATATTTTCCAAAATTGGGTGCTTGCACCACCCCAGACAATCCGCTATCTGCACCCTGTCAGCCTCCTAGGTATTTCTGCTAAAACATATATTTGATTTATTATAATTCACCACCTGGCCTGACAATTTCTCATACCTTGCAAGGCACTGCCTTATAACTCCCGCCTCCTGGATATTTGCTTTAAAAAATAGGAGACTATCATCCGCAAAAAATAGGTGCGATACAGGTGGAGCCCCCCTTGCAACTCTGCACCCATGTATTGAGCCTGCCAACTGTTCATACTGTAATACCATCGAGAGAGCCTCTGCACAAATAATAAATAAATACGGAGAGAGAGGGTCTCCCTGCCTGAGTCCCCTGGTTGGTTTTACGTGCCCCCTGCTATACCATTTACCATTACAGTATAATTAACAGTCTTTACACACAGCATAATGAGCTTTATCCACTTCTCACTAAAACCCATAACAGTCAGCATCCTTTCAAGAAAGTTCCACTCCATTCTGTCATAGGCTTTTGACATATCTAACTTTAAAGCACTCCACCCCACTCTACCACATTGCTTTCTATTCAGATAATGCCCCACCTCTGCTGCTACTAGAATGTTGTCAGTGATTAGCCTTCCCGGGATAAAAGCACTCTGGGATTCTGATATTAATCCTCCCATTAGTGTTTTCATCCTATTTGCTATCATCTTGGCCATAATTCTGTAAATGACATTACTCAACACAATCGACCTTAAATCTGCAACTGTCTCAGGCAACTCCTTCTTCGGTATCAAAACAATGTTAGTATCATTCAATCCGTCGGGGAATACACAGGAATTCAAAGCATTCGTTATAAAGCCAGATACATCTTCTCCCACTATCCCCCAAAACTGCTGGTAAAAACCCGGGTTTAACCCATCCGGACCCGGTGCCTTATCCGGATACATTGAAAAGAGAGCCTCTTTAACCTCATTAGTTTCAAAAGGGCAGTCAAGCATCGCATTCTGTTCTAACGTTACTCGTGGGGCTAGGACCCCAAAAAGTGGATCATCACAACTCAATCCACTAGAGGCAAAAATATTGTCAAAATAATTTTGTATAGCAGCATGCATATCATCCCCCTCCACCCAGTTACCAGCATTACATTTAATACTAGAAATAAAATTCTTTTTCCTACGTGCAGAGGCATACCTGTGATAAAATTTTGTATTCGTATCAGCCCCGCGTAGCCAGTGCTGCTTAGCTCGCTGCCTCCAGAACACATCCTCATGGGCCTCGATTCGTTTCAGGGAATTCTCAATCTGTTGGTACTCAGCTAGCGCTACCAAATCTCGTCTATCTCGTATGGCATCCTGCCTCTGCTGTAGCTGGTTAATTCGTTTCCCGAATTTATGAAACTGGTCACCCCCCCCACCGCATTAATTTTTCTCCACGCAACTGCTGGCAATGCAGCAATCCCTCCGTCTTCCCCTCCTGCCAGGCCGTTTCTATTACTTCTTTGCACCCCTCATCTAATAGCCAAGCCATTTCAAACCTGAATCTCCGCGGCCCCCTTCCCCTTGGCATGCAAATTGCATTAATACTGAGGAAAAGGATCGAGTGATCCGAGGCCCGGGTTCGAATATTCTCCAACCATGCATTCTCATTGAGCAGGCCCCAATCATTCGTTATTAAAGCCTTGTCCAACCTTTCCTCTATCCAATTCGGCGTCCCCTTTCCCTTCTGCCACGTAAATTGGTGGCCCCTCATTGGCATTTGAATCAAACCACAGTCATCCACAGCATCTCCGAAACCCCGTAACAGACTATTAGGATACGGATTTCCCCCCTTCCTCTCATGCTGATATAGGAGATTATTAAAGTCTCCTATCACCACCCAGGGCAATAAGGATCTAGTCTTCAGACTACCAAGCAAATCCCATGTCTCCTCCCGCCTACCACGCTCGGGGATACCATAGATACATGTCATGCGCCATAACTTATTAAACAAGCTTACTTCCACTTCAATATGACTCTGCGAGTAGCTTAAAAGCCTCACCGTATTATTCTTCTTCCATAAAAGCTCCATTCTTCCACTCAAACCATCGTTATCAACATAAAACAAACATTCATACCCAAGCGTAACCCGGATCCGTTCTGCATGTATCCGTGGTACCTTGGTCTCCATCAAGAACACAAAATCGGCTTCTTACTGGACGCTAGGCCCACAATCTGTCGAACTGTGCGTGGATTGCCCAAGCCACGACAGTTCCAGCTCAAAGTACTCATGATGATGGGCGGGGCTGAACACCAGCTCCCGCCATGGACAAGTTTTTTGAACCAGCCGCAATTGTTACCTCATCGTTTCCACTATCTTCTCCCCCCTCCGTCCCATGCCTGTGTCGCTTTGCCGTAGCCACCACCACCTCATCCTCAGACATACTCGTGGGTGTGACACCCCCACTTCCTTGTCCCCCATCTACCACACGTAGCTTGACTCCCAATGGTCGTGGTTTCCCGCCAACCGGAACAAGCCAGCTATCCCCAACCGCTCTAGGAGCACTCCGGGATCCAACAGCTCGCATATCCGGGCCGTACAGGTACCTTTCCACCGGAATTCCAGCCTCCCTAGCGTGTATACAGAAAGTATGCAAGTGACCCATACAACCACAAAAGTAGCAAAACTTATGCAGCCGTTCATACCGAAAATTTACCCATGCTGTAGTCTCATCTCTCTTCATCAACCTCATCCTTCTTCTGAGTGGCCTATCAACTGAGATTGACACCCGAATACGGTGAAACGTTAGCCATGGCGCCCCTTCAAATCGGTCATCATGTTTAACAAAAGAGCCCAAAAAATTCCCTGCCTGTTCTAGAATTGTATGCGACGTGTACCCCTTTGGCATATCATGCAACTGTACCCACATGTCAATCATATCCAACTCTACATCCACAGGATTTACCCCATCCAACACCTCTCGACACACAAGAGCATTATTCTCAAAAGCCCAGGGTCCCCCATTCAGCACGTATTCCATATCCGTCTTATGGAAAAAAACAAATAAGAACAAACCCCTTTGAATCTCCGTTACCTGTACTCCACGTACCGGTTGCCAAACAGACGCCAGAACCTGCCTCATAAAGTCCAGTTTTATCAGCTTCTGCGTCAAAAACCGCCCGACAATCCTCCATGTCTCCTCCTCCTCCTCCCCATCACCCTCTACCACCGCATCTCCACCCTCCGGCATAAACACCGCCCCCTCCTCCTCCATCAACGCCATCTCCGCCCATCTATCCGTCAACTCTGCCACACCCCCCCACCACCCCTTGCTGCCGTGTAGACCCCCCATCCCCCCTCCCATGCTGAACCGTCCCCATTCTGCCTCTATTCCCTCCTCTACCCACACTGCCTACATCAGCCCCTTCTAAACCGCCCACGCCACCCCCATGCAAGCCGCCTGAGTCACCTGCCAACACACCTCCCCCACGCCTCAAGCCTCTGCCACGTTCCCCCCTACCACTACCTTCCCGAAACTCGGCTGTCGACTGCAATCCAGAATTCACTCCGTATTCCCTCCCTACTTGCCCCCAATCAGCAATTCGCCTTGGCTCATGCATTCCTTCCATCATCCGGCGCATCTCAACACCATCCGTTAAACCCTTATCTCGCGCTTCTTCCATCTCGGCCAGCCCCTCATCACGTCGGTTGACCTCGCCATCCATAACAACATCATCGGCCATCTTTCAGGGAGGATTAGAACAAAAATTGTCTGAAAACCTAGAAAAACCCTAGTAGGTCTGCAAAAACCCTAGAGAGAATTCTAGAGAGAGAATTTTTTAAAACTCTATAAAATGCATAATATAGTATGGCGATTTAGATTTAGATTAGTTTTAGTTATAGATTATAGATTTATTATTATACAGCAGCTACACACACACACACATATATATATATGTATACATATATATATATATATATATATATATATATATATATATATATATATATATATGTATATGTATATATATATATATATATATATATATATATATATATATATATATATATATTACATTGAGTACATTATATGATTACCGTATTTTGTAATTGTCAGATATACGTATACATATATGTATATTTATATATCAATATATGTAGTGCTTGACAATCTATTTTGAATTATATTGTGGTTAAGAAAGGCCACTAGCATATAATTAATCTGACGGTATTGATAACAGAAACGGGTTTATATGAATAGAATCTAGGAATCTGTAACTTTAAGGGAACAACATTAATTATGTGGGCGGCAAAACGGAATATGCAGTAAGTCACAGTAAAATGGCGTCCTATTAGAGCAACCTCATCAGTTGGGGTTATTTATGAGTTATTTGTGGGTCTCAACATCCAACTCATCCTCTATTATTTCACTCAATCACAAAAAACTCTTCTCCACATCAGTTTTAAGTTTTCTATGAGTTATTTGTGGTCCTACCATTTATTTGAATTATAAATTTATAATTATGAAAATTAATTAAAACAAACACACCTACATTTAATTAAAATAATAATTGTACATATATAAATTAATTTTTGTTGTTACTTTATTTATTTTAATCATTTTTATTTTAATTGTAATTAAATTATTCAAAATTTAATAAAAAATATACTCCGTATATTATATAATTGAAATTTGTGAAAATTTTAATATATAAATAATAAAACAATAAAAAACAAACAAATCAAATATTAAAAGAAAAAATGATGTTGCGCTGCATGCCTGACAAGTTAACAATAACACTTTTAGAAAAATAAAAATAAAAACAAAGAAAGATTGCTGGCAACCACTCTCAATCTCCCACACTGACTGCTTTCTTTTCTTATTATTTTTTTTATTTTATTTTTCTGACATTATTTGGTTACTTGCAGGAGGATTATCTTCCTATTATTTCACTCCCACATCAGTGATAATCTTTACTATGAGATAGTTCTTGTACAATAACTCCTTTATGATCCTTTAGTGTGGATGCTCTTAGGTTGGCGGGAAAAGGAACCCCCCCCCCCCCCCTCCACACACACACACACACACACACACACACACATATAGTATAGTATATATACTAACTAGTAATTCACCCGCGCGATGCACGGGAAAAAAAATTATATTATTATAAATATAAATAAAAAATAGAAAAAATAAAAATATTTTAAATTGTTCACCCGCGCGATACACGGAGAAAAAATTATGTTATTATAAATATAAATAAAAAATAGAAAAAAATAAAAATATTTTAAATTGTTTAATATAATAATATTTGTGAGCTTCCATTGGTCAAGTATTTATTATTTTTTATAGAATACAAAATTATAATTAAAATTTTGTATGGTTAATATAATCTCTAATTATGTATATATTCAAATAAACTTATAAAGAGAATTTACATAATTACATTGATTTATTCTTAATTGTATTTCATCTATATTATAATTTTCACAATACGAATAATAACTAAGATAATTACATTTAGAAAGCAAATTTCAAATTTTGTATGAGTAAATTTAAACTCTAATTGAACACATTTTTTTATATGATTATATAATATATTCTTTATGCACATGGCATTTCATAAACTCAAATGTCATTTTATAAGTCCAAGACCACTTTTTGTGGAGATAATTCAAATGTATTTTTTTTCTTTTAAAAGTCCTAAGTTTAGACATCCAGAAAAACATTAAAGACACATACGATATATACATTTATATATATATATATTTAAATTTTTATTTATGGCTTAAATGATTTTTTTTATTCTGAAGTCCAATAATAGACCCACAGCCCGCAACATTTGCTTTCTTCATCCCTTCTCGCTTCTGCCATTTCTTTGAAGCATTTGAGAGGGAGAAAAATTATATGTAGAGGCTTTCATTAATTGCATTGTTTCAGATATCGAATAGGCTTTCATCAAAAATTTAATTAATATTGTAATCCCAAGAACCACCATAAATAACAAAAGTATATCAAATAGACTTTCATGGTAAAACCAGATATTTAATTAATATTGCATCGTTTCATATTTTCTATTAATCGGGAATCGGAATCCTTAATCCTAATATCATAACATTTAATAACTCCATTAATTCAATATATGTAATCCTTTGTTATGGGCGAGAAAAAAAAAATAGCTATTTTATTTTTCAAATGTTGTGCTTTTTTTTTTTTTTTTTGTTTTATAGTAAAAGATGTTGTGGCTATTTTATATTTATAGCTAGTAATAATAATAATGTTGGTAATTAATTGTAACATTATTATAACATTAATTACCTCCCAACCATATAGCTTTATTATATGTAAGATAAGAGCCCAAGAGAGTTAGGCCTATAATGGGTAGAAAAAATGGCAGTCAAATTTTTTAATCAAATGAATGGCTCAGATTAATCAGATTTTAATTTTTCCTTAGGATTTCCTAATTTATCCTTAATGAATATGATTATCCGTTAACTTTTCCGTTAAATATTATCTTTTCCGTTAGTTTCTGTTAATTCACCATTAACTTACTCATTGATTTCAATAAGAAAGGTCTTAGGTTCGAACCTCATCCTAATCAAAGTTGGCATAATTAGTACTCTATTTTACTCTTATTAAATTAAAAATAATAATTTAGTAGCTACAACAAAAAATAATACATATGCATTTCTTTATTTTAGAATTATGTGTCTACAATGTCTTTATTAAAAAAATATTAATTTCAATAAATTAAATAAGAGAAATAATTTCATTAGTTATATTGTCTTTATTTTTATCCAATATAAAAATTATTTACATTCAAATTCATCAATTGATTATATTCGCTACATTGTCCCTATAATGTCTTTATTAAAAAAAATATTCATTATCAATAAATTAATTAAGAGAAATAATTTTATTAGTTATATTGTCTTTATATTTCTCCAATGTAAAAATTCTTTACATTCAAATTCATCAATTAATTATATTCACTACATTGTCTATTATCTTTTCTGTGCACTATTTTTTAATTAAATATCAAAGTTATAATACAAAATAATGCTATATATTTATTTACCAAGTATTTTATTAATACCATGAAAAAATTAAAGAAAAATATAATTAATAAAGCCAATCATATTAACTACTTGACGGATTTGTTGACAAATAGAATATTCAAATCACACAACAAATTGAAGTAAGAACTACCTCGCAATATCCTTGTTTAACAATCAGGAGTTAGCAGTTAGCGTTCGGATTATATTAGCGGATTTGACCAGCGAATTATATCCACGGTTGGTAAAAATATATTTGAAAAAATTAAATTAACATGTAAAATGACATAAGGGTATAATAATAATAATAATAATAATAATAATAATAATAATAATAATAATAATTATTATTATTATTATTATTATTATTATTATTATTATTATTATTATTATTATTATTATTTTAAAAAATAAAAAATATATAATTATGCCAATCATATTCAAATCACACAACAAATTGGAGTGGGAAACTGTCTCGTAATGTCCTTGTTTGGCAATCAGCAGTTAGCTCTTCAATATTAGTATATATTTAATATTTTATGCCCTAATTTTTATTTGCTCTCCCTTATGTCCCGTATTTGGTTTCAACCATACCTATACAATTATTTTATTGACAATTATAATTAATATTGACTATATTATCTTGCATTTGTAAACTTAGAATTACCTATTTAAATACGCAAATTCAACATTCAATTATCTATGCATGAACAATTCTCATATAATCTTGCCTGATATACTTTAAAGTACTTATTAAAAAAAAAATATTGGGCATTATCCCAATCGCGCAATGCGCGTAGAAAACTAGTGTGTGTATATATATATATATATATATATATATATATATATATATATATATATATATATATATATATATATATATATATATATATATATATATATATATATATACACACACGAAGGTTATATATGGGGTCGAGGTGGGGTGAGGGGGGTAGCTGCCCCACCTTTGGCTCCGTCTCTGCTTAATCACATTTACATAATCCGAATGTCGTTTTGCACCCGAATCTACAATGCAAGATAGTTCCTATAATATGGTGTAACGATTATATTGCACAATACCTTCAGACACACCTAACCAATAAAAGTAAACAAATAATGTTTCATTCAGGGACGGAGCCAGAAAATTATTTGAGTGGGGGCGAAGTTTAAACGACGTTAGAAAGGTCAATTACATAATACCAAACAACCATAATAAGGTTAAAATACAAAATATATTATAAATTAAAATAGAATGTTTTTGATAGATTACATAATAGTTAGAGTCGAAATCAAAAATATACTTGAGTGTGGTGAAAATGTGAAAATATTTATAAAAAATATGAAACATAATCAATTAGATAAAATAATTTGAATAACACTATATTCATAAATACTTTGTAATTTTATTTTTATTTTAGTTAGATCAACTTTAAGTTTTTCTAAATTAATTCGAATACAATGAAGTATAATATAAACTTGTATACTACATTAATTAAATAGAAAAGGGTCAAATATGCCCCTAAACTTTACCCCAAAGATCAGTTAGGCCCCTAAATTTTAAAAAAGTGCAATTAAACCCTCAAACATGTCAAATTGGGTCAATGAAGCCCAAAAATCGGTAAATGACCTGTTATTACATGTCATTTCAATTCTAGCGACGGATTCCGGTGACGAATTTCAG